CTAAAGTACCATGCTAGCAGTGCATTTCTCTGCTTACAAAAGCGTGAGCTCTTATTTCACTAATATACCTAGCTTTTTTCAGTGTCAGTAAACATATAAGCAAATCATGTTATGGGTGTTCATCGTATCACGCTTGTCATATTATATCGCCCTCTTATATTATCATACATATTGCTACAATATCATCTAATATATGGTTCTTAGGTAAATTTGAAACAAGAAAAGAACTTGTTTTGTCCTTCTTGTGTTAACGTACGCCAATCTGTATTCACTTCATCGCTATTGCACTACAATGGGCTGATATCGGTAGGCAAGCAGGCAGACGATCAACTGCGTCATATACAACGCGCGTAAGCAAACTGGACGTGGTCCATAAACAAATACGTTTAGTCATGCATATATGCCAGCGGCTTTGGAGTAGTAACAGTCATTCGAGAACAATTAGAATTCTCATCTTTGTCTGAATCGACACCGCGTAACAGTCCCCTAGATATGTGATTAATATCAAGTAGGGTACTACTAGCACTACTGGAATGGGTAGCCACCACATTCATTAGGAGCAGCGACGGATGACTGATCAATAAAGGAAATTCGGCTTCAAACAGCTTAATCTAAAGGGGGAATGGAGGCAAAGTGAATCGATGAAATCTATCCAATCAATAGTACTACCTATACTATTCAGCTACTAGATTAACTAGACTTTGTTTGATTCGATCTGAACGGTTGACTAACGCGTGTTTAGATTATATTAAATCAGTCCATCTTACAGCCATATCGCTTCCACGCTACAGAGATGTTTGTTAGCTTGTGGGGTAACCATCTAATTTATTGCTACACTTCACATCTGGCGGTTAGATTGTTTCAAAAAAGGTTAGGCAACGATTCATACATAGGAGAACCAAATTAAGAGCAGGTTGAAGTGGCGGCATAGACGCGAACAGGGGGCCGCCTGTTTTGTATTAGGAGACTTGGTAATTCCCTGTTTTCTTTTTATTCTTTTTCTTTTAGACAAAGCTTTACATTTGTCTGAAAAAGGCTTAGTATCGACGGCGGCTTTTCGTTTAGGTATGAGCAGACTTGTGATCCATGAAGCAGGGTAGCTCTTCCGGATGACGTCGGCGATTAATGCAAACGAATCTGAGCCCGTGATGCTTTCAAATATTTTCCTAGGTCCTTCATGCACATCGCCTTAAAGCGACTTATCCATCTATTGGAAATTGTCAGAAACGGCGCGTTGAGGTCATTGCTGCAAACGATGCAGAGACGTTAAATTTCAATTTTTTTCAGGTACTGTATGTGAAGCATAAAGCAAATCTCTTGGATCTCTTTCTCTGGTCCATAATCCTATCGTTACGAACTGTATCGGTGTATTGTAGCTTGAAAGATGTTGAAGCTTGCTAGCAAAAACTTGCACCCGCCATCTGCTCCTGACTGGAGCAGATATTAGTAGTAGACGATACGCAGGTTAGTTGGCGCCTTTGTAAAAACCTGAAAAGGCCTACACAATTCTATGAAGACGTGGTTCACATTAAACCATATTATGATAAGAAAACTAACTCATAAGGCTGTGTTACAACTGGCTTACGTGAACCGTTTGCGCTTTAATGTAGAAGTCAGTAACAGTCAGTATTACACGCATGTATGCCTTAGATGCTAAGGTTTATGTCTCCTCCACTAAAAATGACGCGAAGCATTTTCTCATTAAACAGTGCGTTAATAAGCACATACACGGCTAGTTTGACGTGAGGCGTGCATCAGCTTGTAACAGAGCAGGGCTCAAACCTTACAACAAGAAATAAGTCGCTGGCGCCATCTTTTGTCACGCCCAAGTGTCGCAGGTGGAGTAACGACAAGGGCACTCGACGATACAAAACCAGAACCGCTTTCCATTCGTAACTAAGCAGGTCAGCGCCACGCTTCGGTAGAGTATCATCTTTATAGCGGTATGCGTCTCACTGGCAAAAGAAAAAAGCAAGATGCATAGAACAACTTCCTAATTCCGCCATTACTGCTAATGTAGCGCACGCCCGTTTCAGGTCAAAGTTGCATTGGCAATATATCATACACCACACTCTTGGGCATTCTCAACACTTTAAAGAAGCTAGATAAGCTAACCAATAACAAGGAAAACCTGCGGTTCTCTCTACCGTAGCTGTCACTTTTGCGGGGAAATGAAAGGGTGTAAGACTGAAAGATTTTGAGCAGAATCATCTTGCCGGTTCCGTGGTAGCCCGATGCGTCGTCGGTGCCTACTGGTCCCGGTAATGACTAGTTGGCCATGCACGGCCCAAGAACATGCAACCCCTCGTACGATGTACACTAAGATGAGGCTTCAGGACAACGCACAGTAATCTTTCTACCACAACTCGACAGCGTCTGCCAGCCATAACCATCCGACATCAGCGCTCAAGCAGGCAACTGACGCGAGCAAACAAACAAGCGACAAAGCAACAAGGAGACCGAATATACGCGCCTCGCGCCGAAAAGAACCGAACCATATAAACCGCGAATGAAACGAAATGAACAACAGCAGCTCGTGCTCAAGTACTCAGCGCACCAAACAAGAAGACTTAATGACGGGTAACGACAAAAATGGCGGCGTTGGTCATTTTGTCTGAGGTAGTCTGTCTCAGCCAGAGATCTGAGCTACACAACCTCAGGCCATCTGCAACCGCTGCAGCTGCTTAAGCCACTTACGAATAAGTCAGCGCTATTGGTGCCACCGACATCGCCACCTAACTGCGTTCTATGAAAATGAGAGAGGAATAACAGTAGACTTCAGTCGTTCAAGAGCGCTTGGCTACTAGTGTCCTGTAGATGTTTGTATGTTCTTTTTGCGAGCGAAGAAGCACAGCCGTTTGTTCTCATACGCTTGTGAGGATCGGACAAGCTTCAAGAGCTGTCTCAGCAGCTACGGGTAGTAACGGCTGCAGCGTCAGTAATCTCAGACTGGCTTGTTTTGTCGAACCATACGTCACGGTGCGTCATCTATTTAACTGGCGTAGCCCACTCTGCCCAGTGTGGTCTACGCTGGGCTACGTAAAATAGGCTAGGAAGGTGGGTATAGGTCATAGAGTGGGTTAGCAGCCATTTAAGCCGGCGGAACATCTGCTTGCTGTAAAGCCCATAGGAGGGTAGAATCATAAGATCAACAATATTCACGTATATTCATGTATGGTCGTAGTAGACGCGTGCGTTCATAGCGACTACTCTACTGTCTCTTTGTATGTGCATATTAAGTAGTTTAATGGTGAAAAATTAGCTCCATTTAGCAACCTCCATGAGTTCGAGAATATCGATAGATAAAATGAGACGTTGGCAAGCGACAACGTCAGATGTCAGCAGCATTCACACCCATGGAGTGACGACAATCGTCCCCTTAGCTCTGAATCGAGTAACAATTTTCTTGTGATGGTGCTGTCTATGCCACACTTTGTACAAACATACCCTGGTAATAGAAATATTCGATGGTCTGGCTAAATCGAGAGCACAATGCTAAGCTATAGAATATACCAATACTAATAAAAGAAACGGGGCATCAAAGTGTTTCTTCCAGCAACGCATGATAGATTCGTGGTAATTGACGTGCAGTTTAGTACTTGTCAAGGTATGTTCATTCACATACAGTATTCTAAAGATCGTCTTATTTTTCTGAAAACCTGTATTACACATACGTTGCGAGCGAAGCTTAGTTTATTCTAATACAAAACCAACAAAAGCTCATAGTGATGGGGGCAAAAGATTCAGCCTGGGGATATGATAACGTCCGCGATTGTCAAATGTCTTTGCTCTGTGCGAACAAGAGTGAGATTATAAGCTTCCTCTTTTGACGGAAGTCGACGGTTTACGTTATTGCCAGTTTTCCGCAGGCTTCTACTAACTTTAGGCTTCCGATAACTAAAGGAAAAGTTCTCAGAAGCCTGGTGAAAACTCTTCCTTCGGAGGGAACTTTTATTTAAAGCGGGAGGAAAATCTTCAAGATCTGAAAGACTGAAATCGCAGAAAAGCAATTTCTGATAAACCAGGAATCCCTGTACATACATAGCGACGACAAAGTGCAAATTGCCATTTGGTTGTCCAGATAAACACCAATCGTTTTTTTTTTTTTTTTTTTTTATTTTCCTGCTACCAGCGTAAATCCCGCAGTATTTTTTTGGATCGAGGATATTTGAGCGACACTTTGACACTACCACACCTATCACACACAATATCGCTTCCCGCACGGTTTGCGGATTCTTGGCGGATTAGAGAAGGAATATTTTGAAAATGATTAGTGAATGGTGAAGGTCCTGAATCAATGGTCTGATCATGGCAAACGGAGCTTGTATCACATAAACACAACTCAAAAGACTCAATAAAAACAAAACTGACACCTTTAGCAGATACAAAAAAAATATATTTTACTTACAGACAGTTAATAGCTCCGGAAGTGAATGCACCGCCATTTAAAGATATGGTATATATCCTCGAATGGTACAGTTTCTCTGAAAAATTTTCATTACGATCTATGACGGCGTGTTTGCCGTGGATGCTGCCTAAACACTTTGTATATACGTATAATAGAGTAAAATTTATATATCTAATTCCTCTCCATAGTATAAAGCACCTATCTTTTAGCTAAACTGAGCGACATCAGCAATAACCGATAAAATAAAAAAACAATGAAGACATCAAGGATAATAGATCTATTATTAACTATTAGACCGATGGGGACAATCTAAAGAGTATTTCACATATTTTCACTAAAAATGACGTTGCTACATTTCAAACAGAATCTTATAACGATTCAGTTGTATGACTTTCTTCGCACTCTACGTAACAGCCGCCAATCTGATAACGATGAGCACGTAACGCACTGGTGACGTAAAGGTCGAGTTACTCATCATTTTACTTGGAAATCTTTTTTGCTTGTAGAGGATTTGCAATGCATTATTGTCTCTTGTGTGTGGCACAACAAATTTATAACGAACACAAAACAGCGTGCGTTTATAGAAACTTACCTCTGTATTATATAATGAGTTTCCCCGTTGTAGTGTGTTACAATCTTCTTGCCTCTAAGCGAGTTCGAACAGTTCGTTGGGTCGCGCACGGCGCCGCCGCTTGGGCGATGGCTTACACAATGATTGCCTTTTGTAGGGGTTCACCGCTACTCATAGGCTACTAAGTACAAACACACAGATGAACGAGTAAGCTTGATTCTAGATGTTCTGTTGTCAATTTGCTGGGTTACGTTAAGTGGCAGAAACAACTTTCCTGGGGATGCAGGTTTGTTTTGGCAACGTACAAAAATGCTTGTTGTAACCAATCTTGAGGACCAAACACTGCTTTCGAAAGGGAAACTGAGAACGGGATTCTACAGGAGTTTATTCAATCGATTTATTAGAGAATTGCAGAAGTTCGTTACAAGCTAACGTAAATTCCGCTCTTTGCGAAACACTTAGTCCCTCCAGGTTAGGAATAAGGAACAGACGCCCAAAAGCCTGTAGTCAGACGAGTGCTTTCTCCACAACACCAACGCAATTGCTTACAAACAAAAACACCTAACAACAATGCATATTGCATTGGACTGTCGTGCTAGCACGATCAAAACGCTCTCATTTGATTGTAGTACTAACAGACCACAAATCTAGCGGACAGAGGAAGCGTGTTATACAACAAAGTACTACTTCACGTTATAAATAACTATGTTCCAGCTGGCGCAATACTTCGGGCCTGTTCAATGGTCCTGCAGGAAGACAGACATAGCGCGTATCGACAACACGGCTTCTCACAAACCTTGACTCTACAGCACAGCTACTATACCAGTGTACGACGTTCGGCGTTTAGACACCATACGTTACCTTGGGGACAGTTGCGGCCAGCGGCAGCACACTTCCGTTTAAGCACCACTGACTGAATAGCATAATCCTCTGCTGGCCACTGTTCTGTAGCAGCAGCAGCAGCTGCAGAGAGCCAAGCTGCTCAGCAAAGGCCCCTGACCGACAGTATCACGCCCCGTAGTTCTTTATGTGTCCGTGCAGGGAAGGCACTGCTGTCGGCGTGCGTATTGGTGGCCCAACCACGTCGTGATACATATATAAGTGCGATCACCGGTAGTAAATTATCGAGGGCCTGGCAAAAGCGCAGAGATCGCGAACGGTAGCGTAGTTCTCGTTGCTTCTCGTCTTCGCTACTCGTAACGCTCACGACGAACAGTGCGATACGACAGAGGAACGATCAAACTCGCTGCAGCCGCAGACGACCACAGCCCACATTCGCACAACAACAGGCTACAACTACTCACTCCTCCTGCTGTGTTGCCCTACTCGAGTGTGGACCTATGCTTACTTGCATGCTGTCTGGTATCCTGTGACTTGAGATAAGTCTACCAGTGAGCAAGCTTATACTGCCACTGGTGGGAGAAGAACCTGGCCACACCAGAACCAAGATGGCAATGGCCAGTACGTAGCTGGCTTATACTGTCGAGCGAAAACTGTCCGTCTTCTTCGACTCTTGTACTGTGTCGTGACACTGGAGAAGCAGTATCTCTCGAGGTACTGCGGGTCGTTTTTTCTAGAAAAACTAGTTTCCAACTGTAACCGTTACAGGGGTACAGGCACACACACACGACGCAATTGTAGAAGTACGACCACAGTGGTGTACTGTCCTAGCCAGACAAGGCGGGGGCACTTTACTGAATTTATGATGACAAAATGACAGCTTATTTGCGTTTTGTCACTGCTATCTAGCCTATGTAGCTGCTACCCGATACCTCCTTACCAGTAATAATAAAAGCCGGTAAATCCGGTATGATCTACTCTAACCCGATTGTTTTTGCAACAGCTCACTTGGTTCTCGTTTTTTATTTTGCGTTGTAGTCTCCTTAGTTGTTGAAACCTCGCTGTTATTGCTAGTATAGCCGTTGGCTGTTGGTCTCGCTGTTTGATGCTGCTCCTGGAACCACTGCTTATCCTATGGTGGACTCGTTCTAATCGTAACAATGAATGAGCTTTCCATTTAGTTCAGTAAGATCACAGGGAATCTTATCTCCCTTCGACAGGACCGCCACAAGCTTACCAACCCGATTTGAAACGACTTCAAGCAGTTCACGAAGTTACGGAAAAACCCATAAACAGGTATGGAGAAGTATAAACAACAGTTGCAATTGATACAAGTTCGCACATCACTGAGCAAACAAATATCGATGATAAGTTCGGCAGCGATTTTTGCCAGCGGCCACGATATCTCAAGCCGCGAAGGTTCCAGATCAAAGTATGACGAGTGGCTCCCTCTCGCGAATCAGTGGCGCAGCACCGAAATCGACAGGCCAATTGCAGAGACGGACGCTAGCCGCTAATGCGGAGAGGGCCAAAAGGTTGCCTGGTAGCGGTGAAAGCGATTTAAAAAAATGCCGCGAAAAATCGTGAACAGACTCGAAAACACTGGATCACCGTAGCACTTTCTGGAAGGTGCGGGATTGCTCGAGATTGGTCACGAGATTGTTTCGGGAAACCAACCATATTATTGATGTAGACTGGCACTGAATTGTCCTATTGTAAAGTCAGTTTGACGTCGTAGATAGGCAAGATGACACGAAATTTAGATAGGTCTCTGTTCGAATGTGCGCGTCTGTCTGTCTGTCTGTCTCTGTATGTGCGTTACAAAGACATTATAACAGAGAGGGACGTATAACAAAATAGAAAAAAAGATATAGATACGGGTATAGACTTGATCAGCCAGTGACAGTCGACGGCGCTAGATTCGCAAGAAGGTAATGAGAGGAGTGCGCGGTCCGGAAAACAAGACAAAAGTGAAAGGAATAGGCTGGTGACTAATAATGATATTTGCTGCCGCTGTCATTGTCGGTCTGTAGAACAACGTAGGATTATTGCAAGCATAGTTAGATATGTTGGACTGTACCTTGGATATATTGTAGTTGACCGTGACTAACACCTTTTATCTATAGAAAACTTGGCGGTATATCTTCAATGAAGCAGCAATAGAGTTAGCCCCTCAATATGTAAAAGGTAATGCGTTAGTTTAGAAGTAAAGGCTAATCGTCTATCCTGTGCAAACGTAACATTGTGCGCATTTATGCCAGCCGCGTTATCAATGTATTATGCCTAGAGGGCTTTTAGTGAAGGGACATGCAATACGACAAACAGCGAAGCAACGACAAGAGATGGTCATTCAAACTCGTGCCTATCCAATAGCTAGATCTAATGAAAAAAAATTGGAATATTTAATAGAACATGATTAGATGATAGAGGCATAAGTTAAGTCTAGGTCCAAATTGAGCCGACTGCCAGGGGTTGTGCAATTATGTGTCGCAGGGAATAATTTCTAGATACATGCTAAATAGCCGGTAAAATTAGCTATAACGGTTAAAAGTCGCTAAGTACGTTTTGTACGCCAAATACGCAAAGTATAAACAACAATTACTGGAACGGCCCTCTTATGAAATAATAAAGCGCACATGTTGAATAAACTGTGTTTGAATCAGCGACTTTTTGGTTTACACATCATGTGGGATTTATTGGGGAGTAACATAGGTACGCGCAGTTACATATCTAGGTATATATATATTGTATTTTTAACTTTTACACATAATGCTGCTGACACTACACCGGTCGGTGATCTATTGTGCAAGAATGGAGATGGAATAATCACACAGTGTTATAATTAAAGCAACTTAACAATAACAAGTTGAAATGGAACATTCTTACACTATTTCTGTGTTAACGAATATGATCCTTTTAGTATATATAAACATACGATAATATATTCGTATGACTTTGCCATTAAAAACACTTGTTGCCCTTCAGCCCTCTTCTTTTAAATCTTTATAATTAGTTATCATTATAATTTTTTTTCAGTCATTATAGATGTGATTTTCTATAGTAAGAACTTCCTTCGGCATAAACTTGTACTGCTGTTTCAGCAAGGCCGTGAAGCTGGATATAGACATTTTGGTAGAATCTATACATGTATGCATCAGCCTAAGGTCGTTAGGTAGATATGCATTATATAAGAAAACCTAGCTGACATTTTTTCGATCATCATGCCATAATCTATTTTGATTTGACACTATTGATTCCCATCGGGAAAATTACCACATATTCTTTTTCGTGGCAATTTGCGAGAGCAGTCTGTAAGCTAGCTAGAATTCTAAATATTTATTATTCGAGTACAAAATTTGGACCAAATATATCCCGACATCGGACATTTAACGAGGCTTTTCTTTACCTAAAACGTTAAGCTCTGCTGAATTACGAGCGCAGTAGCACAATCGTACATACCTACATTGTGATCCGGGAATAGCTTTGGATACAAATGGAGCCAGCGGATATCTACAGAATGTTGTTCAAAACATAGCCTGGCACTTTAAAAGTTTAACGAACATGGTCGCTTTTGAGGATATCGTTATGTAATAAACAACTATACTTTGCTTATTTCACACTAAATCTGTAGCAAACAAACACACCGCGGAAATGGAAGCAACGGATTTTACAGAGAAATTTTACAATTCTTACAAATCGATTACTGTGGCAATTGATTTGTTATAGATATGTTAAATAAGCATTAATCGAAAGAATTAATCATAATGAAGGTACGATGGATAATTTTGCTAAATAAAAACTCCCAACCTCTGGCCTGCATGGAGTCATAAGATTAGGAGTTTTGATGACATGTCCGATTTTTTATTTGGTTGTATATGACAAAGAGTGATTACGGTTTTAGGGGAGCTGTACATTTAAATGAAGAAACAAATCATTAGAATAGCGTTATTTATTTGTTTGCAACTTTGTCAAATACCACAAAATACAAATAGGAATATTTAAAACCGGAATAACTTAGAATCATGTTCTGTTTCGCTCATCTTTTTCGAGTATTCCATAACGGTAAAATAATTTTTATCTGATATATTATGATAAGGGTAATAAACAGATCAACAATAAAGGTAAAAAGTATTACAAAAAGTATCTTTTTTTGTTATTAGCTTAATTAACCCTGAGGACAAAGTGGTTTTTGAGATCCAGAACGATTGTCTAGATGAGGCAAGATCAATATTTTTTGAAAATTTATTTGCATGTCGAGATACCATTCTGTACGCGATGGTATAAACATACATGTGGGTTTAACAATTTGGTAGACACTAGCAGTGTACGCATACTTTATACAATTTTATTTGTGCCCTTGACTTTCTTTCTGGATTTTAAGACCGATAGATTTGCTAACCAATAATCAACCTCAATCCAAGGCAGCACTACGTTCCATAGGCTTTTCTGACCTTCAAGAAGAACTACTTCCTTCAAGTTGAGTAGCCAACCGTTATCATAAGGGTTTTTGTACCTTAGACCCATAGCTTTGTGCCTGCATTTTTCGGCCGAATTTATTAGCTGCTCAATCGAAGTCTCGTTGGCAAGTATTAACCGGGTATGCCAGCAAAACAGTCCAAACACACAGAGACCAACTGTAAATCATCACATAGAGAAAACAGGGTGTAAAGAAACATTTAGGTGAATGTGCTAATCAGGCTCAAAAGCGAAAAGTAGGTTATATATCAACTAGAGATCTATTAACACATTTTTGTTTGGAGTAAGCGAAAGAAACTGGTAATAATAAGGAATAGAAATGAGAAAAATTAATTTTTATGTCCTCAGTGTCATTCCTAATAAAACGAACTACGATAATAAACAGTGTTAATGTAGACACCAAACCCGTACATATATATATATATATATATATATATATATATATTTGATGAATTGTAGCTATAATCATAATGAATGATATATATCATTCATTATGATTATAGCTACAATTCATCATAAAACACTTATCAGTCATTTTCAGGATACCTAATTTACAAATAACTTTTTAACCGAGTAATATTCGTAAATATAAATTCGCCAAAGTGTCCCTTAAGCGCGCTAGATATAAAAAAAAAACCCTTAGCGCAACCAAATTTTGGGCTAGTAGCCAAAGATTTCAAAACTGTAAGAGCTAGAAAAGCGCAAGAAGTCTAAAAAAAACTAACCGTTGGAACTTATCTGGGTAACTCTAGTTTTAATTGATATTCTGCTCTTCAAAATGGCTGTTAATTTCTATATAAAGATCCAGATATATTATAAATAGCTTCATGGGGCTTTTTAATGACATAAACCTACCCTCTTTCGAGATTGTTTTGCATCCCCAAAAATTTCCTCGATGTCTTTAGAGGCCGCATGAAAGCTGGCAATAAAAAAGATCATCGATTTCAGGAGAAAGAAGAACTATATAGTTTTAGTGAAAATTCGTCCTGCATTAATACATTAGAGAATATCAGATTTTCGCAAAATTTGTAAAAACGACGCACTGTTTTTCCATGAGTTTGCTGTTTGGTGCTAGAAAGAATTGGCTTTCTTTTAATAGCAAGAACCAGTGTATGCTCGCTACAACAAGCTGTTCATTCAAGTTTGTACAAATTTCATTGCTTTATATATATATATATATATATATACATTAATAATATATTAACCATTTTCTATCCTATTTGTTTTTGTTCACTCATTTCCTAGATAATGTAAGCCCGTTAACCCCCTCGTACCTCCAAGGACCATAAAAACCGTGTACCATACAACCCAGCGGTAACTTCGGGTGGCCACCCAGCGACCCAGGTATGTAACAGGCTTCTGTTCGAAATAGGTGTCATCTTTTTTGGTGGTCAAATGCTCGTAGAGGACCGGCAAGCCGAAGACACCGATGAATAGGCAGCCTAAATGAGATCGAAATTATATTTAATGTTAAAATGTAAAAAAGATAATCATGTTTTAGATTATTTAGATTAAAAGGATGTATTTGAAAACAAAAAAATGTATGATGAATTATTCATAGCGCGACCATAATATTTCAAGGTACGATTTTGTCGTAGCTTTTTTTAGTGGAAGCATTGAATATTCGAATATTATGACTTATACATCCGTTATCCTAAGTCAACTTCTTTTTCACCCCAGATCTATATTATATCATAAAATTCAGTATTTCAAGCCATGTAAGATGGTTATACTGATAATGAACGTTCGAATTAATCCCAATCGAACCTCTGTCTTGTATCTCAGCTATGTCATATACGGTAAAGATTTCTATTTGCTTGATGAGTGTGTGCACCTTTTACATTATATTAATCAGCTAAATATCTTCATTGAACCTCTTTTTCTGCTGGCGATTTGTTTTGGAACTGTAATTTAACCTAAACGACTGTTGTAAAAAAAACTGTGAACAATTCTTCTCCTAAAAGTATAAACGCTTCGATCCACCATACGACACAAGTCTACATTGCATTTCAGACTCGATTCTCATACAACGCTTTTGGTGAATTGTCTATGTAAGGGTGGTTTGGTTAACTGTCGCTATGGGAACTATAAATAAACTTAATATATCGGATAATATATTACCTGCAAGCGTGGACGCACTGAATAGGTAGAAATGTCGATGTGTGTGAAGGCCGACACAGTTGTTCAGCCACGGACAATGATGGTCCATGCGAAGTATACATCGTTTGCAGACAGAACAATGGTGCGCTCGGGGCGGTCTAGGAAAAACACACTTTCGGCACACGGAGGTATTGTCAGAGGAATAACTGTTGATTGTTGGGTATCCTGGATCAAGCACCACGCCCTGTGCGAAATGTTGTGAAGGTAAGATTTAATTTAAAAATTAACAAGTTGAGGCTCTAGCAGGAAAAGGTCTAATGATTAGCGTTTCAAAGCAATCAATTAAGACCTAAAAATGAACTACTATGATTATTTTAAGGCGCCTTGTTATCCTTTCACTCATACAGTTACGACCATATCGAAATACTGTACTGCTAAATCATTTGTCTGCAATACCTACAATGATTATTATAATAAAGATATTTCAATTTAATAATGTGTCATATATAAGCTACAAACATATTAAGAACATATTTATTTTACTCCCATTGCCAACAAACCTTATAGAAATGATACCACGCAGTGAACTGTAAGAAATGCCCGAGAATCAAAGCAAACCCCAGTGTATTTTGTAGCTCATGCCGAAGATACCATTCAATACCGAGGATGTAGCAAATTACTATAACTGATCCTAATAGAAGCACAACCAGTGCCACCAGATAGGGCCCGAGAGAAGCCGTAAGATGATCAAGAGGAACCAAAATTGGGTTGAGCAATGTATCTATTAAATAATCGAAATTTCCGACTGCATCGACGTTGTGAGTCAAAGTCTGTAGAGTATAGCGGGCACGAAAAAAAGCATCAAACGGGGTTCTCGCTGCGAATGAGCTCGGAAGTGTTGACATCTCCTGTTGATTACACGTTCTCGATGAATAACTGCAATTATGTTTCTTGAAAACCAGAAAAATTGGCCATGTTTGTAGTCCAACACTTTTATAAAGTCGAATGCAAAAGTTTTGATTTGAAGCGTTCAGTCAGTCCATTGCTACCGCTGGATAATAAGTTAACGCCTATTGGTTGAACTTATTAAAATAAAAAAAACGTTTAAGGTGTTTATGAAGCTAACAACGGCAGTGACTTCACTAACATTCACACTAAACTAAATGTCTTTTTATATACGTTACACGTTTTCCATTGTTCTGTCAACTGTCCGTTCTAGGATAGGCTTCGATACCGGTATTTAGAATTGCTTCAAAAACCTGCTATTACAAACGATTGAATACGAACAATTTGGATGGACCAGTTAGGAAAAGGATTATGAATATGTTCTTAACCTTTGTTATCTCTATTCAGATTTTAATGAAAGATCAATAAGCGTTTACGCCACTATTTAAACCTGAACCATACTATGTTCTTGCGATTAATAGGCAAACGCGCCACCATTGCATCATCGCTGGGATACGATATACGCAACACAGCACGCAATCCATAGAGATCTGCATAAGGAACCCAAACAAACGAGAGTATGGAGTCCATTTTGTGACAATCTTTTAGGCCCTATAATCGTCTCGTAATGACCCGTCCACTTCTGCATATGGGGATTCTGTCTAAGCAGTACCTAAATGATGCATTTGTAACTCTGCACATCTACTAGTCGCACATAGGGCTGTTGTCTACAACAGCAATTTTCCTTCGGAATCCTCGCGGAGTGCTAGTGCCCTTCAAGCTAGTTTATCTAACGCACTTTTGGTACATTAAATTTCCTAAAATAACGTTACGTTTCGATGTTTGATTTCACAGAACTTGATAATCCGTAGAAAATCAGCTGTACATCTGTATGCCGTACTTCACATCGTACTTTGCTTGCGTTGTTTCCATGCGACAGCATTTTCGTACGGGACAGAACGGGAGAGGGAAGTGCGATTTCGAGGAGCGAGAGAAACTGAGCTGAAGCCCACACCCTTCAAAAGCCTTAACACCACGTGCGTTTCGATGAGGCCCACCAACTGGAAGGACCAACAAGTGACGTAAATGGTGGAGTTATTATGTGAAAACATATTGAGTTAAGCTGACGTACGTGTCTACAGAATATTTTATGGCTAACGGAAGTAGTAATTTTCTACATTGTGGTCGAGAACGACGGGGAGTTCCCGGGGAGTCCAATGGAATTGTTTCGCTAGCAGTTCGTTGACCTTTGCGGTGCCACAAGAGGTGCTGTGCTGAGAGAAAGGGCAATAGCTTTGTAGGGTTCATCATCTTGTAAGGAACGCTAAAAGCTTATCCCTATAGCGAGCAGTATGTGGGTTTATACAGCGCTCTAGTTCAAATTTAATATAAGTGGAAGTGAAGAACTGGGGGATGTACTGTTGCTAAAATATGATCAAGAATATAACTCTCCGAGTTTAGTCTGATGCAATACTCAGGTTGAAATTAAGTGAGCGATTATAAATTCATCATCATGAAGATATTAGTATGGTAAGGGTTTTGTTGGCTAGATTAAAACATTTATTTTCACACAACAAGAGTCAGGGAGAAGTTCTTGAACAACAAACAGGAGTAAGACCAACGTGTGTGCCATAGCATTGCTATGAGAAAAACATAAATAACAACTCTAAAGGAAGAATATGTTGCCTTTGCTTTATGTATCTGCGGACAACACTTCGAAGATATCGTAATGACACCACTTCAAATGTTAAAAAGGTTGTATGTCTTGTTTATGTAATTGCTTCTGTCTCAATGAGTTCAGCTTTACATGAAGTAAGCAAGTACCATACGAAACCCATGAACCAATCATTTAATTGTTCTTTAAAATACACAATCCATTCGTTGTTATATTTAAAATTAATCTTTGTGTTATATCAGCTATTCGCTGCCAACTACAAACGCAGATAGCAAGAAATACTCATAGCTTTTTATATATCCGAAGCGCCATCATGCAAATGAACCGTAAACAAAAACTGAAAAAAGATGAATCACGTGACGATAGTATTTGGAACAGGCCAAAAACAACTTATCTGATACTGAGGTCTCAGCTGTAGGAGAGGCTAACAAAATGGATACTTTTGTGTTCCGTATATCTGATAAGTAATGTTAAAATAAATGACCATAGATTATAGTTAAGAATCTTAGGCATTACGCTTTGCATGCATTACTGCTACTGGTTCTTTAAGGAGATTATTTGTTTTATTATCCAGTTAATTTATAAAAGTGTCTACCTTGTACTAGAAGCTCGCAGCGAAGCGGCCATCTAAGCACAATTCGCATGTTATGTTTTATCTTAATAGAAAATCACTGAGGCGCTTTTTCTAATATGTTACTCCCTAAGCTTCCCGGCACCATACCTCGCCATCTTGTTATTGCAAAAGCTGCAAGCAGAGGTTTTGAAATTGAACGGCATGTAAACATATGGTACTGCTTAAATATTTAACAATATGTTATCTCTCTATGTCGTCGTAAGGAAAAGCGATTGCCTTAATCCAGCCACGTTTCTCCAGGTTCATGATGGAATAAGCCAGGTACTTCGCCTCGTATCGATCGGAGCGAGCAGTGCAATGACAGAGCATTGCATACTGATTTAACCTTCTTTAGCATGAAAACAGGAGAAACAAAAAATTGTGATTTCAAAATGGAAACATCGGAATGAATGTTTGCTGTGTTAAAGACACTCGTCGGGGACCGGAGCAACATAGAGTCATCCAAAGCGCTTGTTCACCGGTTCTTGTACATGCCTGTTTATCCTAAAAGTTGTAGATGTTCAAAATGGGAATTCCTTGCTCAAAACATCTAGTAAAAGTTCTGCGTAATTTATGTAGCAATAAAGTTATGCACCGTTATAGTACAATGCAATATTACCATAGAAAGATTTCGATTTATCCACAGGCAGTTCTCATCAACAGAAGTGTCAAAATTGTTGACAGGTATTTGTACCAATATTAATCAGCATATTTCTATCACTTAACAAAAAAGGAAATTAAGCTGCGTCGCTTTTATAACATAAATCTCTCCTACGCTTCAATACAAGTATATTTTTATGTAGGAATCAATAGAAAACAAATCCTTCACCATCTTTATCGTACTATTGACATCAGATTGCAAAAGCTGGTAATTATTGAGCATAAAATGCTATCGACCTACGCATAAATAGAATAATTACTATACATTTATGAAACACTCATTTAACATTTAATCAGTTATAGTTAGGCGTATCGAAAATGTGTGAAATAAATTTTTTGTTCCTGAATTCGTCTTTTAGCCTGTTATGAGCACGTACAGGCTGCATCTAATCACAACATGACGTACTCTAACTTCTAAGATATTTTTTAGCGTTGGTAGCAGCGGCGCTAACGGATGCTTGAGTAATTCGGTTTATCTTCAATTGAATGTTCGCCGTTATAATTCTTAAATGCCATTCTTTTCTGTATTCAATATAATTTAGCTAGAGCAATATGTCTACAATCAACTGTTCGCTTTCTTAAAATGGTATGGTGGCATAATTGCGGACGTGCTTTAATGTTACGCGAAGTGTACTCTATATGAATCATATGAACTCGTTTGTCTTTATATGAAATGTAGCCGAAAACTTTTTTGCGCCAATTAAATAAAACTTTTCTAGATGAGTTGGAACAGTAAGTGTGCTGAATTTGTAAGAAGTTATCGCATACGATAAAATTATTCTCTAGTACTGTGCACCATGTTTCCTTTTCAGATATTGCGGAAAACAAGTTTAGAATGTTAAACAGAAACGTGCTCCAGAAAACCTACTCAGCGACATTCCAAACAGGCTAAACCAGTCCTAGTTAATCTTACGCGTATGTTATTAAATATGAACAAGTCTACAATATACGTCGACAGAATAAAGAAATACAAAACGAGCTTTCTATTATATTGTTTGACACTAAATGGAAAGTATAATATTAGCAATCCCTTTTTACGTAATGAATTCGTGTCGAATGTCCAGAAAAAACATTTTGGCAAAAAAAAGTTTTAATTAGGACTATTTAGCTGTCCCATAAAATGACAAAAAAGTTATTTATCATTCGGCTCTTCTTTAAAAATGAATCCGAATTATTACCTCTACTAATTTTCCTTGTGGTGTATTTTCCACTGTATTGCACGTGGCGTAACTTCGTTCAAAGCCACTAAACGTTTGACTTTTTGGAATAGTACAACAGACTTTTAAAATTTTTTACCAATATCTATTTGATACCAGCTTTCATCATTGCATTCCGCCTGACACTTCCTTTTCAACTATTACGATCCATTCAAATCACTGATACCATTTACCTTACTGTCATTTTTTGCCAGTTCCCCTTGTTAGCATCTATCTTACAGAAAGCTCAAGCGAGATGGTACGATTTCAACACAATTCCAGTATTGCTATGCCTTTTCTGTTGACATAAGAGGCCAACACTTTAATAAACACGTAGCTAGGCCAATAGCCTGCTAAATAGACAGGACATGCACCTCAAAACCGGTTTTTTCTATCTTAATTGTTAATATTAGGCAATGTGTTTCGCCATTCTAGCTACATAGCACATACAGTTAAATCACTCTGTGAAGTCCGCTTTAGCTATTCGTCCCTGCGCCCCTATTCGAGAGCGGCTGTGCTATACAGTTCTTCTGTGTGTCTGATCTCGTTTGTGTGACCCATCTAATTACCCGACGGCCACTGCGGTCGCATTCGCACGCCCGCGCTAGATTGGGAAAGGACAACCTCGAACCTGGAGAGGGCCGCTTGTATGAGTCGACACTAGCAGCTCCGTGTGGTTATTATCCATAGACTCCTGTCTGAGCTATTTGTAGAGTGTTCCGTGTCCCGTAGAAACGAGAGTGGCAGCGTAAACCCAAACAGCCGCGTCCTGAATGCTATTGGCCTTCTTCAGTTGGGCCTCTAATACCTTTTACATTGTTGTTATCTGTAGAAGAAATGGTGGTAGAACCCGTGGTCGACCAGATGGAGTCGATGTTGGCGGCGTCAGTGCTGTCTGTTGTGAACTAGCTGCCATACCGGAAGCTAGGTAATGGGATAATTCAGAATTGTTTCGGGCCTGTTTCTATCTGGTAGAATGTCTGTAATGGCTCATTGGCTGTCAAGAGATCAGAGGCTGCTAATCAATATAAATTGAATATAGGTTATTTGGAATAAAGAGAGCGATGTGGCATTGTGGATTACCAGGAGACAAACCGGTCTGTCTGTTTCTCAGAAGCGTGTTTCGCGTTTTTTCACGGTAGCAACGGTCGACGGCGGCAGCGGTGAGACTGACATAAGACAGTTGTCAGAAGTCAGCCACCACGTGATACCGGACTAATAGTAAAAAGAGCTGAATGAGCCACAGCAGAAGCAGTCACAATGTCGTGCGGAACCAAACTCCTCCTATTTGTTTCGTACGATATTTGTCTTTTTTGTACGCAAGCAGTTTAGTATTTCATAATTTTTAAGCGATATATGTATCATATTTTTAGCATAAGAACTCTGTTGTTGAGCAAGTGGACAAGCATAAGAAATCAGGTGAAGTAGACACGTGCATTTGAATACCATTAACAGAAAAAACTGCAGTGGCCGTAAGAGCATTAGTTTTGTCCGGAGAAAACGGCGTCAATATGGCTATCGAATAGAATTAGCTGAGTTTGTGCGCGAACAACGTGTTACTGCTACTACCGCAGTGTTAACGTTGACCATCACAATGGAGATGTCAGTAGTGAGACTGTTAAGGTTTCGATTGGCGGAATCAGTCAATGAACAGTGACGTTTAAAAGGGTTCATTTTGAAGAGCACCCAGAAATGCACAATTGCACAATACTCCCAGTATAGGGCTGCAGTACATGGCGATTTGCTCGGTCGAACCTCGTCGCTCTGGCGGATCTGACGAATATCATTCACGATACCGCAATGGACTTGCGCGCTAATATTGTAATTGCTCCCTGCTACGATCGCGAAACAAACTGGACTTGGTGAAATAGTCTTCGCATATCCTCAAATAATGTATGACCACTGCGATGACATATTTAAGCCTCGTTTCTCCTTCGACGACATTAACAATAACAACAGCAATTGATTGTCCATAGAACGCGCACAGTTACTGCATACCATATACATAAATGTTTCAACAGGTCCTACTCGTTCATAATTAGGCCGCGTTTCCGTATACGCAAGGCGTCACTGACAAAATTGACAAGTCGCTTGCTAAGGAGTTTCAAATAACTTGGCCAAAGCAAAAAAACGGTATTCGGTCGATAAAGCTTGGGCCCCGCAACACAATGTCATGTGCCTTATACCTCTGCGCGTGCCCGAATTGGAGACTTCTTCTTACCGATCAATTCAATTGGGTATCGAGATGTAAATGAATCATAGAAAAATATATTGATTCTAATATGATTATCCACTATACATAAATCAGCATTCTATTGAATAAAGAAGAGAACTCGAGCTCTGGTTTTCGCAAAACAAACTCGATTCGTGCCATAAATCAGGGCATGTCAGACCAAGCTCGACGACTTTACCATGGCTATCAGTGATTGGTGTGAACTTCGCCGTTTGTAATAAGAACAGTTACGAAAAAAAGGTAACAGCTAAATAAAGGCGTAACTGCCACCGAAAACGAAGAACAGATCGGAGATGAATAGAGAGAAACTTCGTTCGAATGAAACCAAGCCTATGATTACTGTATCATAGATCAATAATCCCGCATTAACATAACATGGCATAGATGTAGAGTACACTAAAGATGTATTTCAACTATTACTAGATTATTTCAACTATATTATACTACTAGCTGTAGCGGAGCCGAACACGACATGTATGCGATAACTATGAAATCGCTATAAAATCACGGAAATTTGCTACTGTTGACATTCAAGATATACGTCGATATATTATAGTATCTTCAGAATATCTGAGATATACATGTAAAGAAGGTGTGCTTTGTCGTCGTGCCAGAAGCAGTTGTGATAACAACAATAGTAGTAAAAAGTCGTAACAGGCAACCAGTCGCCTAACAGCTTCCTGTGTTGGATGTCGACGCCACATCCGTAATACATAATATATGTGTTACTACTTTTTCTGCAATACTTCAATTCACCGAATTTTTTCGAGAAGTTTTTTTCCTCACTCCTGCGTTTCGTAGGAGCTGAACATAGCTGTGCTGACAAAGAGTGCATATTTGCATCAAACCGGCGCGAGGAACACCGGCCAACTTGTGGACTACCCCCCACAGAAGAATTTGGCAAGAACAGAAATAATTAGCTATGTAAAAAAGACGGAGAGAACAAGAAAATGGTAACAGTCACCTGCGCAGCTCAACAGCTGTAGAAGAAGTCAGCATCTGAAGAAAAAGCAGAATAAAGAGTCAGCTCCATTAAAAATCGCCGTTGCCGCTACGGGTGCCTTCCGCGGGAAAATCAAAGTTCCAATGTGCATCATCTTTTTGGCCATGCATCTGATTGACTAGTCCTCGGTGTAGTGGTAGGTGCTATCCAGTGGGTGTAAACGACAGACATAGCTTTCTACATGTGTTTTGGCCATCCACTGGCAAACTTGCCCGTAAGGCCCGGCTTGTCAACCAGATTCGCTCGGAGCTAGACTTGTTCGAAGATCCATTCGCCGGCTATTTTGGTGTCTTTCATTCCTTTGTTCCTGTGAGAACAGAAACAACAATATCATAATCAAAAACGTTAACTCCCGTGCTGAGACATCGCAATACATTACACGACGCTGGATACACCCAATAACAATTTTGGTTGTTTATCGCCACGCAGTTCAGTCCGTTCGCTGCAAAATCAATCCGCCGTATGGGCAAAGAAAGCCCGAAGCTACAACAACACCGAGAGGGGCGGCAGCGGCGATCATGCTACAGCCAAGTTGAATAAAGCCGGCTACAATTTGCCGTTAGGAGCTTCGGTGACTGGCGACGGCAGCAACTGGAGAGTGTCGCTATGTAGCAAGGGTCTGTATCCGTATGTGGGAGTAGCAGTAGCACCAGGACGAATGAAAATCATGATAGTAATCGCTACTCATAATAAGCGACGCCGGTGAAGCCGGTGGTAAGCCAGCCAGCCAGCCAGCCAGCCAGCCAGTCAGTCAGCCAGCCAGTAAACGTCGCCACGGTCGAAGTAACAACTGGGAGCTGTCCCGTCTCTCAGCAGCTGTCGTTCATAGTCGCGGATTTGTGTCGTCTTACCATCCTTTTGTACCACTAGCCACACAGACATAAGGGACAGCGAGTATACGCGTGGCTCCAATGCTGCCGTTCGTTCTGTAGTTGTCTATAGTCGGTAGTGGTGTTGATGGCACGGGACGTTCACGGGGGAGGCAGGCAGCAATATTCTTGTACAAACTGACAGAACAGGATCTGCAGACAGGCAGAGACGGCCCAGTCGATTCCATCTTCTGGAGAGGCTGCCGTTTCTTCAGCTGGTGGACAACAACGGCGGGACAACGGAGTGCGGCCGGGGCAATGCTGACTGTGGCGGTGCTGATTGTGATGATTTCGGTGACAGCAAGGCTGCGGAAACCGTGGTGATTGGGATCTTACTAGCAGGAGCGGTTGACGGTCAACGAGTTGAATTGATTCTGTAGTGTTTCGACGGTTCTTTGCGTTACCCAGCCGTTAGTGCGGGCTGTCTCTTTGGGCACCCCCGAAAAGCCCAGCTATTACAAATGCCACTAGCTCTACGCAGTCACAAAGCAGAAAACGGAACGTCCACAGCGGAACCACGTGCCGCTGAATCAGAGTACACTGACAAAACACGGTTGTTGCTTAGCATCGTCGTTTCGTTATACGGAGGAAACGCACACACCTGAACGGCGAAATCGTTCCGATGCCTTTGCCATAATTGTGCGCCATTCTGGTGCACGGGTTATTGCGTGCGCGATGATGCGAACCTCGCTACAAGATGACGACACCTTCCGACTAAGAAGCAATTCAATGACGCTGCCAGAGTAGTTACAGGCAAAAAAACGTTCAATTTCAGACGATTCTATCATTATCACTGCCATCCGTCGGTGTTTAGAGTCGAACCATGATTCCTTAACGATGCTCGTAGTCATTTGTTCCATTTCCGGAAACATGCTTCATCACTGATAGCTTCGTGTCAAAACGGACGGCCACAGCTCCTCGAAACTGAGACTACCCATCGCTCGTCGTTATCTTCATAAACCAAACGTACTAAACACAGAAGCGTAATATAGTTACAAATCTGTAAACGGACGTCATACAGGAAAACACACAATAATCAAGTAAAATGTCATACCGTTTTCCGTAATAAGAAAAACTATTGAGGCATCGCCAATAATTGAATAGCCGTCACGTTACACGTGCGCGGTCTAGCGTTTGTCAACAGTAGAAAACAGTGAGTGTTTGCGTATCGACAACAAGGGAAGGGTGCCAGTGTGTGTAAGCTTCCAGAAGTGTTTGTGCGGGTCGTGAATCTGTGTCCATACTAAACGGTGAATACTTTTTTCCGCCACGTCCTGTGCCCACTAAAACATCTTGCACGGAGTTATCCATAAGGCACCGATATGTACGTGAGCCAGTAGAACACGCTGAGGTTTGACCATGAAACATCTAATCTTACTGTGTAAGATCGTTAGCCAGTCAGTAGGTGCATGAAGGTGAATTCGGAAGAATCATCGCTGGCCTTGGCCAACCTATCGGTCGTGGAGTGTGCTAATCGTCGCATCCATTGCCTCTCGTTGGTCTTATTCACCAGGTGTACATAATGGATACTCAACGAATCGATCGAATGCGGTGATCATCTGCAACTGCGTAGATCTAAAACTGCTACCGATCAGGTTAAGCCGAATGCAGCGTATCTACCCAGTACGTTTATATGTTAAGGTAAGCAGAAATTTTACTTTTTTTTAGGGTCGGCGACGCTCCGCCCCCTAACCTATATAAGTCGTTCGTCGCGAAGGTGATCGAGTTTGACACTCCACCATAGGCACGATTACCATTACGATACCAGCATGTACTATCAAGAACAGAGAAGAACATCGCGTTTCAAATTATGCCCGCCATCCATGACTTCTGTTTTCCTTGGACTATATGATAGTCTTTCCGAGGTCGCTTCCCTTGATCCAACCTTGATCGATTTTCACCACGCTCTGCGTTGACTGGAGCATTTCGCACGGGGTTGTTCAACCGAACCGAATCCGGAACTAGTTTTATTCGCTACAACAGTCTGCAAACTCATATTATATAATTCATCTATCTGTAAGTAACCGTTGCAAAAACAGCAGTGATTCAACTTACTTAAAATTGCTCAAGTTCGCGGAGCTATTTTTCTGTTTTTTCTTTTGTGCCTAGAGTAGAAGCTGGCAGATGCCATCAATGGCCGAGCGCGCAACAGATAGATGGACAAATACAGACCGAGTACAACTGGACAGGCTGACGGCTGACACGAAATAAGCTTGTTGTTGTATGTGTTATATGTGCCGAGCAAAGGACTAATCTGTAGCGGAAGGACCAGGGTGACCTATTTGTGGGACGGCGTGCACGTTGCAAGGCAACACGGCACATATGAGACCACCTTTCACTCGTCGAGCTATCTGAGCTTGCAGAATAAATTATAGTAATAATAAAAATGCATCAGAGAAAAAAAGTGGCGGGAAACGATGCTTTAGTGCACGCAGGATTTCCGATCTGGATTCGTTATCTAGTCCAGCGATACGATGCTAGTAATATTTTTGTAACAACATCGGGCGCTAATCGTAGACCGTTCATATTAGCGAACGCGTATAATTTGTATTGTAAGAGAAGTCCTAAGTCGTTATTATAGATAGAAGCACATTACTTATGACTGTTAAGCACAATAGAGATAGCTGTGTACCCGAATTGCGTCATAAAGACGATTGGATGAACGACCCAAATCTTGATCTCGAGTGAACTTTATGTGGTATCAACCGTTGTTTTAGAGCGATAACTAAGCAATACGAAAACCTTAACACATTATAAGATTCTAATAGTAACTGAAATTGAAAACTGTTCTACGATTTCCTGCAGATATCGTAAACTAAATCATTAAGACTACAGCATATACAGTATGATTTAAAATATGCTTCATTTTATTGAAGTAATATCCATCATTGTTCTAACTCAATGCCTTTGTCGTTTCACGGCTCCTCGCAGTCTTTGCTGGTATTTTGATAATTCATATATATATATATATATATATAGGTAACCCAGTGTCAACGCGCGTTATATCGTGCATTTGCCATCGAAACGGGGCACACTTTAGTCAAGTGGGATTATTTGCTTGCTTTCACCCTGCTTCAGTAGCACATGGGAAGAATTTTTCAAATAATGGACGTTGGGGGGGGGGGGGGGGGGTTAGAAGTCTTCCTAAGAAAAGTCGTTTTTTATTTAGCATCAAACCAGCCTCGTATCGGTTTAGCTCAATCGAAATAATTTACTCGTTAAAATTCGAAGATTATTGGGGACGCATGTAATGCTATAATGCTATAGCTAGTAGTTGGATTTGTTTGATGTTTACCTTAAAATTAACACTGAGTATCCCAGCAGACAATAGGCAAGCTAGCATTGGGTGGTCGGCCATATGTTAGGTACACGTTTAGTCGGGCATATAGGAGTAAGGTCATTGTCGCCTCTCCCTATACGCATACAAAGTCCTTAAGAACCATTTTCATAGACTTCTGTTGGCTGTATCAGCTCGTCCGCATTCGTGCGCCTCTGCAAATCTTTGCGTCAACTCTTCTGTGCGATGTATCTCCTCTGAACGAAACTACATACTATGGTACATTCAGGCCTTGTTCGACTGAACTCTAGACCATATAACTGAAGTAAAATAAGCAGTACGTATTGTAGAATAGAAGAAGAAAAGAAGCAAATTCAATTTTCACGCTGTTAATTCTGAATGTTCCGTTGTAGTTAAGCTCTCGTTCGGTAGAAATGTGTCTCTTCACTTTCAGTCTAGTCATAAATCGTTTTAGTCGCCAAAAGGTAACTTTTTTCGGACGATTTTATAATATATTTTTATTTTGCGACAAACGGTTATTTGGACTTACGCTCCGGTATTTTGCACTCATTTGTTTGTTACGCAACTAAAAGGTGTCCTATAGTCATTGGCTGCAAAACGTCGCGACGTAGCCATGTACCATCGTTGAAGCGACGTGTTAACCAAAAATATGGTGACTTCTGGACGCAGCACTGTTCAGAAAATCTGATCCAGCTGTCCTCCACACGGACGAAACGGCGGACGATATCTTACCCTATCAATGAATCGAATTGTCCCTTAAGCAAGTTCCGATTGCAACGTTGTGCGTTTCAATGAGGAGCGATACATGGTGCAGTTGTTTTGATGGCACGAACTGAGGCTACCTACACCTACGGCCCGCAAACGATAACCGTTCAACGATCGCGTTTGTCTCAGTCCAAGTTTTTGTTTGTATTCATTTATGGCTTTTATTTAGTTGTTCATTTATAAACGTATGTTGAGAATTTTATTTATTATTTTTATTGTTATTGAAGAATAGCAATAAGGGCTACGGCTATTACTTTAAGTTTACTATTGCGCCTATAATCTATGCTGTGTGACAGGTTGTATATCGCATTTATAGGGAAACTATTGCTTGTATTGGTATATGTGTTATTTATAAAACGGTATCGGCATATTGTAGTTCGCGACACGACTAATCTAAACCCGCATGACTAATAGCATCAACATGGCAAACAGGTTTTTGCAGCAGAAGTCTTCCTGCATAGTAACTTTTCATGTCTTTAATGTGAATGGAATTTTCGTTCACATTAGAGACACATTATTTTATTAAGCACAGAAACTTCAACTTGATGTCATCATTTTGAAAGCTATGGTGCTTTACCCTCAATGGGCTTCCTGCGTACGATTTTATTCCGCTGACGCCATAGGCCGCTAACCTTGGCAAGTCGGCAGTTCCTTTTTCTAATAATGTGTCGTGTATCTATATGGTGATATCAATAGATATAGGTACGCGGCAGCCAGATCCGTGTAGGCGCACGCGACATATCAAAGATGATACATGTATGCCATCCCGGAAATCTTAAAGTGGTAGAAAGTCTCAAAAAATATCTTCCTTCTGCTATTAATTTGTCCATTATTTTTTTTTTTGCAAAAAAAGCCTTTGCTTTCAATGCCGATCCGTTGTACAAAAATAGCTAAAAGAAGGCACAGTAGAACGACTCAATTCGGACAGAACACTTAAAATTGTTAGATCCCAAACAACATTTCGTACAAACTTCACGCGACAAATTAGTAACGTGAGTAACAGTACGCATCGATGTAACTATTCAGGCATGCGATGTCTCCAATGTAAATCCGTTGAATTTGCCTTTTGGCAAGTTCTCGATAAATATAAAAAAAAAAAAGCAACAATTAATACACCGGCGTCACGTTTCTTTGGAATAGCCGAAAAAAAGAATTCGCTGTTAACAAGATGAGCTGACGTTGGTGTGCCTGGAGCCTTCGCGTCGAGAGATGACGGACCAGACGAATCCTGATGAAGTAATGCCCCGAGGAAAGAACAAACTGGACTATTTACGCAAAATTGGTCCTCTCCGTCCATCGATCGGACTGTCATGTATTTGCCGAAATTTCTAGATGTGATAAATGACTAATTCGTTTGTTCGGTGATTCGGTATGTTGAAACGAAACGAAGGCAGGAATAGGGAAGGCTTAGCTAGTGACGAATTGTCTTTGCTGTTCTCTTACCGAGGCATTGGGTGTTAGGTCTTAATGTGATACAGGCGTTTAGGCCTTTGGTGACGGCGATATATTGTAGGGCTGGTGAGGATCTGCAAGAACCAATGTTTGCTGTTGGAATAATCCCTAACAAGGACTCGAGCACCGGCATGTTTCTGTTTCAAAATTTCCAAAGGAAAGCACACTTCGAACTCGAATTTTAGTCTTAGCTTGAAAACGTCGAGATAATCTCTGTCAGAACTATGCCATTGGTGACACTGACGCAGCTAATAAGTAAACTAACCTCAATATTTGAGTACAATAGATAGGATTCTTGTCAGATGCGCGGATGTCTTGTAACGTTTCCGTCTATAGGACTTATCTGGCAGTCCGAAATCGTGGCCAGAAAACGAAATGTTTTGGTAATCTGCATTCATCGATAGATGGTAGCGATAGTCGGCGAACCTCGGTCGTGCTAGACGGAGCAGCAATGCATCACTGCTTTTACAGGTATTACATTTTCTACCTTAGGTGTGTATGAAACCGTTAAAAAGCCGTTAGGAGCTCAGGTGTAGGACTAAATGATTATTAATTTAGGATCGTCTTCTTTTTTGCGTGTTAATCGATGCCTCTATACGAGACCGATAGGCATGGATATCAGTTTGGTGGAAAACTTCCGACTCCTTAACAATCATGGCGCATTTGCCTATTCGACCGGAGAGATCTATACAGTCAAATACGACGGTAGATGCTTTAGTAAAGAGGGCTTCTGAACGGCAAACTTAACTCATTATGTGCCCAACCATTAAAATATTCCGATATTTTGAGTGACCGATCGATCCCGATGGCGGGCATAAAACTAATAATTTTTGCCTCCTTCTATTGTAATGGTCACAGATACCGTCGAGATATGAATTTGAGCGTTTACGCTCGGCTGATGACATTTTTCTGTTCTATTTTTGGCGTCGTATGCTTTGATACTCAGCTAGAACTGTCTGTCTTAGGCGCCGATAGACTTTTTTTACGATTCACGGTACGGCGACTGGAACCTTCCTATAGACGAATTTGTCATGTAACATGATGAGTTAGAATCGCGGCACGGCTGTAAAGCGTAGAAACAATGACTTACCTGCTTGGATCGCGGTTTGATTTTCTATCAGACTAC